CAGAGTTAACTGATTTTATAATCGAACCTAATAAAGAGATAGATTTGTTAATCCCACGTGGTTATTACAACGCTAGTTCTTTGCCATGTGTCAGTTTACTTAATGTAACCAACAACAAGATAGTTTTGCAAAAGGGAACTCTTTTAGGCGAAGCAATTGAAGCTGACGTTGTTGAAACGGGGCCAGCCCCGTCAGTAGCAACAACTGGAATAGCCAGAGATAACAATACACTACCGGAACAGTTGCAGAACATATTGGATAAATCCAGTACACTTGCTGAAGACCAAAAGTCCAAAGTTGCAAATTTACTTCATGAATTTGTTGATGTTTTTGCACTAGATGATTTTGACTTGGGAACATTTAACCACATTGAACACGAGATTGATACAGGTGATGCGCGCCCTATCAAACAACGAATAAGACGAACACCCATGTGTTTTGCACACGAAGAAGAAAACCATTTAAAGAAAATGTTAGATGCAGGTATCATAGAACCATCTATGTCAGAGTGGGCATCTGCCCCAGTACTTGTGCGCAAGCGCGATGGCAACGTGCGCTGGTGCATTGATTACCGGAAGTTGAATTCCGTGACGAAAAAAGATGTCTATCCGCTTCCCCTGATAGACGAATGTTTGGACACTTTGGCGGAAAACGAATGGTTTTCAAAATTGGACGCTAATAGTGCATATTATCAGATTAAAGTGAAGGACTCAGACAAGGAAAAGACTGCCTTCATCACTAAATATGGATTATTCCACTTTGTCCGTATGAGTTTTGGACTTTGCAATGCCCCTGGAACATATTCACGAGTAATGAATCTCGTTCTCAGAGGTTTAACATGGAATGTTGTACTCGCCTTCCTGGACGATATTCTAGTAATGGGAAAGACATTTGAAGACCATTTACAGAATTTGCGGTCAGTTTTTGAACGTTTCAGAGAGTATGGGCTCAAATTGAAACCCAGGAAATGTGATTTCTTTAAAAAGGAAATAGACTTTTTAGGCAGAACAATCAATAGAGATGGTATGGCAATTGGCAGTGAGTATGTTGAAGTTGTTAAGAAATGGAAAGTACCTACGACAACAAGAGAGGTTGAACAATTTCTTGGCTTTGCTAATTATCATAGAACTTTCATCAAGAATTTTGCAGATCTATCCTACCCTTTGTATCAATTGACCGGTAAGAAACCGTACAAATGGGGAGATTCAGAGCAAGAGGCTTTTGACAAACTTGTAGAGGCATTGACAACAACTCCGTTATTGGCATTACCCAACAGTAAAGATCCGTTTATTTTGGACACAGATGCTTCCAATTTCGCAATTGGCGCAGAATTAATACAAGTACAATATGGTGTAGAGCGTCCCGTTGCCTACGGAAGTTTTTCATTAACCCATGAGCAAAAACGATACTGCACGACACGGAAAGAATTGCTTGCAGTAGTGAAATTCACCAGACATTATAGACATTACCTTTTAGGAAGAGAGTTTATAGTCCGTACAGACCATAGTAGTTTAACGTGGTTATTGCACTTTAAAGAGCCACAAGGACAACTAGCTCGATGGTTAGAGGAGCTAAGCCAGTATCACATGACAGTAAAGCACAGGCCAGGTAAAAGACACCAAAATGCGGACGCATTATCACGTCTGCCAGATTTATCCTGTCCACAGAATAGATTAGCAGCTGGGAACGTGCTAAAACACAATCTACCCTGTGGAGCATGCGATTATTGTACTCGTGCTCACCAAAGTTGGCTTGGTTTTCAAGAAGACGTAGATAACGTTATTCCTTTAGCTTCACATCAAGACTGTAAAACTTTTGAGCAAACACACAATACAGGACCACTTACAGTACTACCGAGTTCTTTGATTTCTGAGAACAAATTAATGAAACAGGACAATGCACAACATACAAATGTGATTATAGAGGACAATGCTACACCAGATAGTTCAATATCACAAGACGGGGACCAGAACGTGACAAGTCACGTGAATGAGAATTTAGGTACATCTCCGGTCCAGCAACAAGTATTTGACAGTACCAATCAAGATACAGTAAGCCATAATCAAAATGTTTGTCACAGTTCAGTTGAAATAGTCACTACACCACTTGGTATGTCAGTTTACGCGACATATTTGGACCTTCCAAATGTAAATGCCATTACTGAGACAGGTATAGAAGCTAGTACTTATTCACCAGAGCAATTACGAGATTATCAGTCTAAAGACCCAGACTTGGAATTAATACTGGTATGGTTCAGGGACAAAACAGAACCATCAGAGGCTACAATATTCAGATGCAGTCCAATAGCTAAGAAATATTGGATAAACAAAGATATGTTCTACTTAGATGATAATGGAATATTGAGAAATTTGGACAAGAAAGACAGAACACCAAGACTTGTGGTACCAAGAGATCTTGTTGAACAAGTGATATCATTATGTCATGATATTCCTGCTGCAGGTCACCAAGGTATGAATAGGACCACATTGAGAATAAAGGCAAAATATCAATGGTATGGTATGACACAACGAATAAGAGACTTTGTCAAAACATGCAGTACATGCAATTTACACAAGAAGCCAAACAGGAAGGCTAAATGTCCGCTTACCCAGTTTCATGCAGGTGCACCAATGGAGCGTGTCCACTTAGATTTTCTAGGACCACTGCCAGAGACGAAATTTGGGAATGCACATGTACTAGTTATGGTTGATCAGTTTTCAAAATGGATGGAATGTATTCCGTTACCAGCACAAACTGCAGAACATACGGCAAGAGCTGCTGTGAACGAGTTTTTCTCTCGTTTTGGATTCCCATTTCAGGTTTTTACAGACCAAGGACGCAATTTTGAAAGCAAGTTTTTCAAATCCATCTGTGAAATCTTGCAAATGCACAAAGCAAGGACTACTCCGTACAGACCATCCTCAAACGGACAAGCAGAACGTTGCAACAGAACCTTGATGGACGCCGTCCGTTGCTTCGTGTCTAAACAACAAGACAATTGGAATGAACATTTGGCACAGTTGGCAGGAGCTGTTCGATCGTCGGTGAACAGAAGTACTGGTTTTACGCCAAACATGCTGATGCTTGGGAGAGAGGTTAACCAGCCTGTTGATTTATTGTACAGCGTACCTGGTACTAAAACAGACGAGTCACAAGATGAGTATGTGATAAGACTCCGAGATGCCATAACATCTGCTCATGAAATAGCGCGCAACACGCTAAAAACTACACAGAATACCATGAAACGTGATTATGATGTACGTATCCTGGAGAGAGAATACAAAATAGGAGATTTAGTTTATGTTTTAGACACGGCAAAAATTAAAGGTAGAGCGAAGAAATTGGACCCACCTTGGAAAGGTCCAGGACTTGTATGTGCCAAATTATCTTCGTATGTGTACAAGATAAAATTACAAAAAACTGTACTGACAATAAATCATGACCGTTTAAAGCCATGCAAAGATAGAGAAGTACCACCCTGGTTAAAACAGTGCCAGCACCGGTTACAGGACGGTGAAGATGTGACCAAGGCGACTAACCCAGACTTGTACTGTTTGTGCAGAAAACCAGATGATGGACTGTTTATGATACAGTGTGATTTTTGTCATGAGTGGTACCATGGAGCTTGTATAGATTTGACACCAGCGCTGGCAGACACTATGGTAAAGTTCAGATGTCCACGGTGCCAGGACTCTGATACCGCAAGGTAACTTTAAAATATAAGACAGGATACTATGATGTACATATAGAGCAGAAGGAAATCAGTTGTAAATTTTGATTGGACATTACAGTGAAGATTGTGTGTAATATATATATATCAAGGAATGATATGTTAGTTTTAAAATAACTCCGCAGAGCGAAGACGGAACAATTGTTGAATTTTGAAAAATATATGTGTGTCGTCGAAATGTCAACATTGGAAAATATATATAACTATATATATGGAGATTTATTTGTATCCCCGTGGTGCGACCAGACGGGGTGGACTAAAGGAATATAGTGAATATTCGAATAGGAAGTAAACTCACTCCTTTCAAAGTGGGGGGGAGTGTTGTGTAATATGGTATAATGGACGTGACATTACTATGTAGACAGTACGGTAGTTAGATATACCGCGTAGCCCGGTTCCCGGAATGATCCATGGTAAACTACCCAGCTCAGGATAAGATCTCAGATAGTTACCAGGTAACGAGAGTTGGCGTATTGGCGGGAATGAGAACGCCTGTACTAGAACTTAACCAGAGAGTATCAGAGTATATTTGGTAAGTTAGTACAATTAGGAGCACTTCATTGTATTAGAAGTATTAGTATTGAGTGATAATACTCGGAAATCACATCATTACTATCAATATTATTTGTAAGTTTTTTGTGAAACTGACTGCTGAATTGTTTTTCCATGCTTATGGTACATCTAAGTCGTATGCTTTTTTTAAAACCACCTCCAGGGTATAATATCTGCTCGCCCATAGAATCTGTTTGTAGATATAGGAAGATGTGGTATGAGTGCCAATGAGAAAACTCTCCATCCAAGTCACACAATTTATAAAAGTAAACCATTATAGGTCAAGGTATGGTCTTCAACACAGAGCCTAGTTTTTATCAAAAATGAAATATATTGATATTAATAGTATACAGGTTAAATAATTTATTCATACATTTTTAATTGACTGACTAGAATTATCATGATTATTGAGGAACTTAAACCATTCTTATTTTTCAAAAGGGACAAAAATAAAATTTATATATAATAACAGGGTGATACAAATGAGAAAAACTCAAGAAATTGTTTTCAATTAAGATAAATACATGGTTTTCAGTTGTTTTTTTAACATGTTTAAAGCAGAGGCAGATTTAGTTTAAAGTTGGAAAAAATTGTTTGTACCAACAAAAATAAATACACAAAGTTAATCCAGAATTATGTGTTTATCATTTTTTTTATGTTTAGGTTGCCAGCTAGATGAAAAGAACAATGCAGTTCAAAAGTCAAAATGTAGATAAGCTGCAGTACAAGGTCCTACTTTTGCAGATTTTCATATTTTGCATGAATGAATTTGAAGTTTATATCATGGAGGGCAGAGAAAGAAAAGAAACACTTCAGTTTTCCTGCTTCTGAAGGATAAATGTAAAACATCTTGTTTGGTAAGTTTTATGCTCTGTTATGATAGTGTTTGTGCATCCATCTGTCTTTCTCTAAATTGTATTCACTTAAAGTTTTTGGTTACAGTTCACCATGAACTTCAGTTAGTAACTTGTGGTTTTACATGTATATACTCAAAATTTAGTACTTTAAAATGTTCATGTATTTTTGTCGAGCCTGCAACTTTTGTCGCAGAAAGCTCGAAATAGGGATAGTGATCCGATGGCGGCTACGGCGGTGGCATTAGCACTGGGGGGTCTCTTCCTATATTAAGGTATATACATATGTGCCGCTGGAATGGGTCCCTTTTTTGATGCATCAAATATATCAATGGGGTGCAATTTTACCGAGGAAATAAATCAATGGGTCATAATTTTTCAGTTTGTTGTGCAACGATCTTCACTTAATGGATTATGATTTCGCTGTGTAATATATGTATAGGTAGGGATTTCACAATTATTCAATATATGAATGGGGGGTGTTTTTTAAATTCTAGCTGCACAACTGTACCCAAAATCCCATGTTGAGACCCCCCCCGTGGGCGTTAGCTAACTTCCTAAAAGCTTTATATTTTAGAAGGTGGAAGACCTGGATGCTTCAAACTTTGTATATAGATGCCTCATGATACGAATTCTGTCTGAAACATGTCCATTGTCCTTGACCTCATTTTCATGGTTCAGTGACTACTTGAAAAAAAAGTTCAGATTTTTTGTAATGTTAATTTCTCTCATATTATGAGTAATAGGATAACTATATTTGGTATGTGCGTACCTTGCAAGGTCCTCATGCTCGTCAGAGAGTTTTCACTTGACCTAGACCTCATTTCATGGATCAGTGAACAAGAACTTAGTCTTTGATGCATGATTTTTTTTATTAGTTGTTAGTGGTCTTTGTACTAGCTGTCAGTAACTGCGAGTACTCTCAGATCTGTACTTAGTGTCTTTTTGTTGTTTGGATGTACAAGTTCCCGGCCACGTCCACTTGTATTTGTTGTATTTTTATCCATCTGATGAGTTAAGCCTCTTTCAACTGATTTTTATACGACTGCGGTCGTATATTGGTATGACGTTGGCGTCGTCGTCGTCCGAAGACTCATTGGTTTTCGCACTCTAACTTTAGTTTAAGTGAATGGATCTCTATGAAATTTTACCATAAGGTTCAATACCACAAAAGAAAGGTTGGATTGATTTTGCGGGTTATCGTACCAACAGTTAAGGAATTAGGGGCCAAAAAGGGGCCAAAAATAAGCATTTTTGTAACTTCCAGACATAACTTGTGTGTTAGTGTATGGATCTCTCTGACATTGTACCACAAGGTTCCATATCACAAAGGGAATGCTGGGATTAATTTTGGGGGGTAATTGCCTCAAAATTTTAGGAATTAGGGGCCAAAAAAGGGGCAAAAAACAAGAATTTTTCTAGTTTCATGACAATAACTTGTGTGTAAGTGTATGGATCTTTCTGAAATTGTACTACAAGGTTCCATATCACAAAGAGAAAGCTGGAATTGAGTTTGGGGGTAATTGCCCAAAACGTTTAGGAAAAAGGGGCCAAAAATAAGCATTTTTCTAGTTTCCAGACAATAACTTGTGTTCAAGTGTATGGATCTCTCTGAAATTGTACTGCAAGGTACCATACCACTAAGGGAAGGCTGGGATTGAGTTTGGGGGGTAATTGCCTCAAAATTTAAGGAATAAGGGGCCAAAAAGGGGCAAAAAACAAGCATTTTTCTAGTTATAGGACAATAACTTATGTGTAAGTGTATGGATCTTTATGAAATTGTACTACAAGGTTCCATATCACAAAGGGAAAGCTGGGTTTGAGTTTGGGGGTAATTGCCCTAAACGTTTAGGAATTTGGGGCCAAAAAGGGACCAAAAAACAAGCATTTTTCTAGTTTCCAGACAATTACTTGTGTTCAAGTGTATGAATCTCTCTGAAATTGTACTGCAAGGTACCATACCACAAAGGGAAGGCTGTTATTGAGTTTTGGGGTGATGAATCATAAGGGGGTTACAAAAATTTGGGGGGGGGGGGGGGGAATTTTTTTTCCTTTTTTTTTCTTTAAAATTTTCCATTTTAAATTGGTTATTTCTGATTTATATATAAAAGCAAATAATAATGATATGGTTTGAATAGGTAAATTAAAATTTTTAAAGTTCTTAGACCACATTCATTCTGTGTCAGGAACCTATGCTGTGTCAAATATTTAATCACAATCCAAATTCAGAGCTGTATCAAGCTTGAATGTTGTGTCCATACTTGCCCCAACTGTTCAGGGTTGACCTCTGCGGTCGAATCAAGCTGCGCCCCAGCGGAGCATTTTATTATTGTTTGTTCTTATGTTGTACTGTTACACCACTGTCCCAGGTTAGGGGGAGGGTTTGGATCCCGCTAACATGTTTAACCCCGCCACATTCTGTATGTATGTGCCTGTCCCAAGTCAGGAGCCTGTAATTCAGTGGTTGTCGTTTGTTTATGTGTTACATACCGGTATTTGTTTTTCGTTCATTTTTTGTACATAAATTAGGCCGTTAGTTTTTCGTTTGAATTGTTTTACATTATCATTTTGGGGCCTTTTATAGCTGACTGTGCGGTATGGGCTTTGCTCATTGTTGAAGGCCGTACGGTGACCTATAGTTGTTAATTTCTGTGTCATTTGGTCTCTTGTGGAGAGTTGTTGTCTCATTGGCAATCATACCACATCTTCTTTTTTTTATATTTAAGGTTAAGTTTTGGTAGTCAAGTCCATATCTCAGATACTATAAGCAATAGGTCTAGTATATTCGGTGTATGGAAGGACTGTAAGGTGTACATGACCAACTGGCAGGTGTCATCTGACCTTGACCTCATTTTCATGGTTCAGTAGTCAAAGTTAAATTTTTGAGTTTTGGTCTTTTTTTCTTATACTGTATGCAATAGGTCTACTATATTTGGTGTATGGCATGATTGTAAGGTGTACATGTCTAGCTGGCAGGTGTCATCTGACCATGACCTCATTTTCATGGTTCAGTAGTCAAAGTTAAATTTTTGAAATTTGGTCTTTTTTTCTAATACTAAATGCAATAGGTCAACTATATTTGGTGTATGGAAACATTTTATGATGTACATGTCAGTCCCGCAGGTTTAATTTGACCTTGACCTTTTTTTCATGGTTCATTGCTCAGTGTTAAGTTTTTGTGTTTTGGTCTGTTTTTCTTAATCTATAAGCAATAGGTCAACTATATGTGTTGTATGGAAGGATTGTAAGCTGTACATGTCTGCCTGGCATGGTTCATCTGATCTTCACCTCATTTCCATGGTTCATTGGTCAATGTTTAGTTTTCTTGGTTAAGTCTGCTTCTTAGAAACTATAAGCAATACCGGTAGGTCAACTGTATTTAGTAATTTGAATGATTGTAAGGTGTACATATATTTCTTGTCAGGTTTATATGACCTTGAAATCATTTTCTTGGATCATGTTGAGTTTATGTGATAGTTGTAGTAAAGCTTTATATTTAGGACTATCAACATGATATCAATGATTAGTAAAGAAGGCGCAACATTTCAGCATGTGCACTCTTGTGTATACATTAAACACCACATTTACTGTTTTTACCCTGATTTTATGGATCATTGAACATAGAAATGTCATAATGTGAAATTATAGTACATTCTTAGGTTAAAGTTTTAGGTTAAGGTACATAGCTTACCATGAAGTTGAATTTCATACACATGTTCATTATGTGGTGAATTTTTAAATTCAGTGCCGAACGAAGATTTTGAGCCTGATTACATGATTGACTAGACATTGACACATGCTAGTGTTTGCCAGGCATTGTGTCCTGTACTAGGAATTTGTGCTGTACTAAGAACTTTAATAGTACTCGCTGAGTATGGAGTTTTTGTGAAAGTTTAATATTAGTGAGATTTTTGCATGACATCCTGTCAACTGCTTGTTGATCATGTTTATACATGTCTTAAAATTAATATCTGACACATTGGTGTTTTGTGAACTTGGAAATAAGTTATTTGATAGAATAATAATGTTTTGAGATTATCAAAATAAAAAATATCCCATTTTTACTACATTGTGTATTAATGATTAAGTATATGTGACAGAGTATATTTTTACATATTTCATTTATTAGTATTTTACATTTTATTACATGCCAGATATTATACTTTATTCATTCACTCTGATCATTTGATCTTTTGATTTATAGTTTATTATCTCTTTACACTATAAATTGTATGAAAGTTCTAGTCAGTCATACTTCATTGAGCAAAGTTGTAATTGTATCTACCCGTCCAACTCATTAGTAAATTAATTGTCACACCTTGTTTATCTTTATGGTCAGTTCTTATTGGTCATTCTGGACACACCTCAGATTTTGGAAAAGAAGTAATGGTGGTTAATTCTTGAAAATTGGAGACATACATATTTAATATTTACTTCTTATTTAAACCATATATAGTGATGAAACTTATATAGAGACATTCTATTTAGTGCTCGTTAGTACTCACTGAAGTTTCCATACTTTGGAATCACTGTAGTTATTGGAAATTACATTCTTTATATCTGGTAAGTAGATTTTATGTTCTTTGTGGTGTATGAAAGGCGTATGCAGTGCATGCTATACAATTCTGCCCGTTTATAGGTAAGTATGCCCATAGACCTTAGATATGATAGGAGTAAGACAGTTTATGTATTAATCTGAGAATATATGATTTGAATCTGTAGTTTGGATGTAGAAAGGGAGATTTACGAATGATTTTGAAAGTGACCTTGACCTTTCAGTTATGGATCTATGACGTCACATTGACAATTGCGTTAATATTGCCATATATGGCAATTTTGTGTAATAGCTTGATTTTATTATATCAGTCTTTAATATGTTGTATTTTGTATAAGGGATCATTATTTTCCTAGATCCTAGTATTTACTATTGTGTATTATTTTCAGGACACATAGCTTATGATGTTCCTGTAACATACTGGTTGTACTGTAGATGTTAGATATATAACCTGGTTCCACAGATTGGTAAGGGTCATATTATATTGTACCTATATGTCAGTTAACTTGAGTTCGATAATAGATATTAAACATTACAGTAGTGCATACGAACTTAATAGCTAGAATACTATAGTGAACAGTTAATAACCTTCGTATGGTAAAGGTTTTATGAATGACACTCGTTTATGAAGTACGATACATTCGACTTGTTTATAATATGCTTGGTTGATTATAATGATATGCTATTTGATACGACTTATCAGATACATGTATTTGTATTTAGAAATATAATTGCAAGTTTGTTGCATATTATGAATGTCACTGCATTCTTGATACTCAGTATAGTTTATTGTATATGGAATAGAATATTTCATACGATCTTGTAACATTGTTAATTACACCAGTATACTATTTGTATGATTCTAGTATAAGAATTTAATAAGACTGTGATATTGATAAATGTGATAATTATATGCTATTGTTATTGCAGGGTTATTTTCCCTATGTTTACTTGTATAATAAAGTGATGTCAAAGAACCCTAGACTTGTCGTTTATGGAACCCCCGTAAAACAAGACTATTATATATATAAAAAAGAAGATTTAGGATATATGTATAACCATATATAAAATGGGACCGCAACCGAACAACACAAAAATAAGAAAAAAAAAACCAATATAATTTTTTGCACCAATGTTATAATTTCCAACATGTCCAAAGAGTTCAATGTATTTTCTAATTGAAATAAAAAGTGGAACTCTTTCAGAACTTCAGAAGCTTAAAGAAGTGATGTTTCTATTGTTGGCTTTCTGTATAATATATTGCAAATTCTTGTGAAAAATGGAATTTTATTGTAATTGCCTAAAGTTTTAACATTGATCTATATATATATATATAACTGGGGAAAATACCCAAATGTTATAAAGAAGAATACATAAATTGATTGTTATATAATATTAGAATAGGAAGATGTGGTATATTTCTAATTTGACAACTCTCCATCAGAGACCAAAGGATGTAGGAGGTTAGCAACTGATGACACTGGACAACCTTCAACAATCAATAAAATCCATACCGCATAGCTATTTTTATTGAAAATCATATGTTCTTGCTACATGTATGCAAACAATTTTTTATTATCCATAACTTCGGATTTTATTGGTTCTTTTTCAGAAGGATTGAAATTCATCACTGAGAATAAAAGGAGAAAACACAGAAACAAGACCAAAATAAATTCAAAGACAAAAGTCAGATCAGTTATTATTTTCATCACTCAGCCAATGAATTGAAGTTCTATTAAATATCTAAAGATATTAAAACCACAATAATGACAATGTTCTGTGCTGAATGGCAAAAAAGTGGACTATACATTACGATCACACAATGCTGGATGATAAGAAACTATTAATTTTTTGGGTGGAGGGATATCCTGAAAAAAAAATAGATTTATGTAAAAAGCTACTAGTATGTTAAGCCTATTAATAGAGTTTTCATTGATTTCAAATGGGAAAAAATTGTGTTTCAAAAAAGTATTCTAGAATTCATAAATAAACATATATTGATACTTACATTATCTGCTTTGTTGTTTAAAAGTTTAGTTTTGAACAGTTATAGAACAATATAATTGCATTAACATTTCCAAGGAAAAAAAAGATATTCGACTAAAAAGATTCATCTTAAAACAATTTACTACCAAACAGAATTCATTGTAACATACACATTTATTAACTGGATATTTTTAATTGAATCATAGGATTTTATTTTGTCCCATGGGATAATTATAGTCCCATGGGATTTTTTTTGTCCCATGGGACAACAAATATCCCATGGGACTACAATTATCCCATGGGACCCAAAAAAATCCTATGGGATTTAACCAAAATCCCATGGGATAATGGTCAATCCCATGGGATTTGCCCTATCCCATGGGATATTGAAAATCCCATGTTTTTCTAAATCAAATTACAAAATAGATATAATAATAACAGCAGAAAAGCAATGAATTTATTGAATCCCATGTAATTCCGCACATTTTGGTTATATACACGACACTATAGCTCTAAGGAGAGGCGGCGGCGGATTTGCAAATGAGTGTTTTGCAAATTAAGAGTGTCCAGTGTTTTTAGCTTAATGTAATTCAATAGTAAAACCAGAAAACATTCTCTATTCAAATGCATAAAAATAAAATAAATTGTTGATGTTTAGGTAACAAAAATGATAAAAGTTCTTTCTTCTGTCTCCCTTTATCATCATCTTCTGTCATTTTTGTTTGTTTGTAAAATACTGTTAAAGTCCACACATGTTTGAATAAGCTCTACTTTAGTTCAGAACATGTCCTTTAAAATGTTGGTTATCATATGTTATCTGTTTAAAACATAAATATATTGAATTTAATGTTAAATTTTTTTTTTTTAATTTTTTATAACAGGGGTCTTTCATTAGCTGATTTTTTTTTTGCCTATAGAGATTGGTCATTGGTAAACTTGCATGGTTATATAGCTTGTCTGTTTTGAATTGTTATTTTGGTAACTATTTGGTTTTACATTTTGTGTTGCAATTTCAAATTTTTAAATCTTTTCAAACATTGTATAAATTTAAAGTGCAGATGACTTGACACGAGTTGCCATTGGTATCGATACCTTTTGTATTAGTTGTAATGCAAATAAGAGGATACATCAGAATTGAAAAGAACCGAATGAATAAAAGATACAAACTCAAAGAAAATGCTTAAAAGGATTCAAACATGTAGAAATAGTCTCTTCTATCAACAACCAGGAAACATTTTCAAAACAAGGACGAATAAGCACAAAAATAATATGCCAAGGAGTGCAACAAAAACAACATAGTTCATTTTTTCCATTTGGCTCCCTCACAAGTGAATATAGGTTATTGTGATCACAGCTTATACTTCCTTAGATAAACATGAAATGTTCATATGTATTTAGAGTTGTATTATCACGTTGTGTCACATGGTTGTATCTTTTACGTGAAGAGTGAACGGAACGTGACTATTTTGTTTCTGTTCGTTTAACGTGCTGCCCAGGACACGTGAATATCACGTGATTCCTATGTTGAAATCATATTGAAGAGTTCTAGAAGTTTCAAATGGAAGAATACTTTGCAATATCATTTCCAGGGAAAAAAATATTACAGTATGTGTTCCTAACGAAAACAACGGTATAGAATATCTGTTCCAACAAGTACAGATATATTGGCATTGTTTATAACAAAGTTTCATGGGAAAATTCTGTTAGGTTGAACAAATATACTTTGACAGCACATATTTTTTGCATAATATTTTTGATTCCTATATTACATGATTCAAAGCAAAATAACATGATTTGGAACAAAATGATTCATGATAAACCTTTATCAAATTTTCCGTTTATGAAAATATAAATTATTACGAAACTAGGGTTTTAACTCCACGAACACCCACAGGTAAAAGTTGACCTTCTACGGATTTGGTTATTATTTCTGGGTCCTTTTTGGCCATATAGCTCCTCAAATGTTTTGGAACTTATACACCGTTGGCTTTCAAATACTTGGCTCTGAACGTTCTTGATAAAGGTTAATCCAGAAAAGTTCATCGGACACATGAAATTTATAAATTGGCGTTTTCATTTGTTACAGCCTTGGGTCGATAACTCTACTGGTAGACTATTAAATTCCTGAGATGCAATGAAAACAAAATACGGCGTAAAAGTCACTGACCTATATATGCTACACTGGCAAAAATGCCACACATGTGTACATGCGTGACACATGTGTTTCACATGCGTGTCACACGCATGTGAAAGAGACGTTTCATGCCACGCATGTGACACATGTGTGAAAAACACATGTGATACGCATGATACACACATGTGATCATGCGTTTCACATGTGAATTACATGCGTAAGGAAATACACCTGTGATACATGCGTGATTACTACATGTAAAAGGCATGGTGCCTGTATTAAATATTTTTCAAAATATCCTCCTATTTGTCCAATTACCATGATTGTTGACATGTATCTCAGTTCTCATGTGAATTACATGCAATTTCTAACACATGCGTTATACATGTGTTTTCTCTATATATACACAGGCAAATTTTGTTCACGTAAATTTCATGTAAGATTTACCTCAAACAAGCTTATACATGAAACTCTCGTGCAATTAATGTTAAATTTTTCATGTGAAACTAACGTGAATCAAGCTTTCATGTTAATTTTTCTAAAATGAAATTAAGGTGAATTGAGCATCAATCACACAAATTCACTGTATTTGAGCATATTTTAGATAAGTTAATGCTAATCTAGTACACATTCTATTTTGATATATATAAATATTCTTCTTGGTCTTGACTATGTGTTCATACTTCCATTATATTTTACTTTCTTGAACCTTAAACTATACAAAAAATATTTATCTATCAACTCCCAACTCACAATATCTCCAATGCAAGAGATAAGATGCAATAAAACAAAGAAGGCAAGCAAATATCCAGGTCACCTTAGTTCATTCCTAGAATTTTTTTTCGGTTATGTTCAAGTCTCAATACTTTTTTAAAAGTGATGTAAGGATTGGTGATTCATTTATAGAATATGTATGCACTGATGTATATTTCATTTTTAATATGTATGTACAAGTCATTTTGTGGTTATCAGTCATGAGACAATCCAATTACATTATGGAAATTGTCTTTAATACTTGCAAATTTTTCTTTTGAAAGTTTTGAAGAAAAAAAGTAGTTCACCCTGCCACATATTCATGTGCCTGTTTCAAGCCAGGAACCTTTTCAGTGGTTGTCTAAAGTCGCATCCTAATAAAAAAAAATATTTAAAGAATTTGGTGTTGATGGCAGCTCTTTGATTGGCATAGACTCTGGTTAAGTAGATCATGACATTGTTTAGACACCTGTTCATTGGTAAGGACTGTATGTTAGCACCTTAATGCCTTTCATGTGTTTTTGTTGTATAGCTGTCTGATTTATTTATACCTTATATCTCATTGTATTAATAAACTGAAATAGAAAGTTCTGTGAAATATATTTTGATATACCATATTGAAAGTCTTGCTGTTAGTTTCAACCATTTCCTTCTTATTTCATATATGTATTTCAGTTTTTCATTTTAACACCAATCTTAAGGTTAAGGCAAAAAGAAAACAAATGTTGACAAACAACAGGCATATACCATTAGGAGATCTCAAAGTTTGGCTGCACAATAAACTAAAAATTCTTGTTATTTCAAATATTTATATAAAATTCAGTTTTAAAACATGCATTTTCCATTTTTAAACTGTAATTGTCATGTTGGCACAATAATTTGAATTTCAATTGTATTATATTCTGAGAGTACTTGTGGTTGAAAAAATATACAATTCCATGTGTTTTAGATTTCTTGAATACACCACTCCCATATAATGACTACATGTCTGTTAGTAATGTTTAAGAGTTCTCTCCTGCATGTAATTGCTATTTGTATCCAAGGCTTCCTTCATACATTTGCACATATCCTTCTAAGATGTTGCTTGAATGATAAAATCCTGTAATACATTATCAGCCATCAAACTCTTGGAATACAGTTGCTGTAATAAAAAAAATAATCTGTAATCACAGAGATATGTCTCGCTTTTTGGTAATTTCGATAATGCAAATGTTGAAATTAAAATAGCAACACTTTAACATGTAAGATTTGCAAATATTCAAAGTCAATGAACCATGACTAAAGGTACATGGCTAAACAATCTCCATGGAAATTAGATGTGCCAATGCTTATACAACGCATACCAAATACCATTGACTTATCATAAGTAGTTCCCTTTAAAAAACCTAAACACAAACTAATACATGTAAACTAAGAAAATTTAAAAGTCAATAAACGATAACTGAGGGGGCCCGGTCAAATAATCTCCATGGTAATGAGATGTGCCAATGCTAATACAATTGCATACCAAATATCATTGACTTACCACTAGTGGTTTCCCATGAGCCGACCTAATCACAAACTAATACATGAAAACTTAAGCAAAAGTTTCAAAGTCAATAGACCATGACTGAGGGGGCAGGGCCAAATAATCTCCATGGAAATGAGATATGTTAATGTATATACAACTGCATACCAATTATCATTAACTTATCACTAGTGGTTCCCCATAAACTGATCTATTCACAAACTAATACATGAAAACTAAGCAAAAATTTAGAAGTCAATAGACCAAGACTGAGAGGGCGGGACCAAATAATCTCCATGGAAATGAGATATGCCAATGCTTATACAACTGCATACCAATCATAATTAACTTACCACTAGTGGTTCTCCATAAACTGACCTAATCACAAACTAATACATGAAGACTAAGCAAGAGTTTCAAAGTCAATAGACCATAACTGAGGGGGGCGGGGCCAAATAATCTCCATGGTAATGAGATGTGCCAATACTATTACAACTGCATACCAAATATCTTTGATTTACCACTTGTGGTTCACTATAAAGTAAACCTAATCACAAACTAATACATTGTTAACGCCGCCGTCGTCACCAACACGAGAAACAGCATACCTATGTCTCGCTTTTTGACTCCATCAAGCGAGACAAAAACAGCATATATTTTTTGTAAAACATACATCAAATATTGGCTTACCAATCAGAGAAAATGATAACATCAATTTAATCTCCAATGATTTACCAAACTTACATATATATTATATATATATATATATTGGAGTGGAATATGAAAGTTGTTGTTTATCATATTTATTTTTCGTTTAATGTCTTTTACGTAAATTGGAATTGTTTTACATCTGTCATTTCAGGACCTTTTATAGCTTGCTAGATGCAGTATCAGTTTTGCTCATTGTTGAAAGCTGTTCATACAGTGATCTATAGTTGCTAACATTCAGTCATTTGGACTCTGGTGGATAGTTGTCTCATTGGCAATAATACTACATCTTCTCATTTTTATCAAAAAAAATTAATAATGAAAACTAACTCTATTCATGCATGTGTACTACACATTACCTGTATATATAATATATACTAGAATACTCCCGGGACATCATGGGGTCGTGACTGAAGCAAACTACCTTAGCCTTATTTTTAGCCTGGATTTTAAGTTTTTGTTTTGTCATCTAATAATGTCATGCTGGTCATTAGGTGCACAGTTTTCTCTGCTTTCAAAATCTTTCTTTTTGAACCTTTCAACCCAGAACTTGTTAATTATTTGTAGTAATAATTATGTGGAAAACAAATGGGCCTGGAATGGTGTAATTTTTAATCAACACCATTGTCCTATATATATAAGTTATATATAAAGTTGAATTCTTTGAATCGTCATTTTTATGTCATGCCGGCTCACAAATTGGACCTTGTTATTTTAGTATTATAGATCTAGATTACTAAGTGCCTATAGAAACACATTTCCTCATTTTTCAAGCCCCTTTCTTACATGTCTTAACCTCATTTAAATTACAATACCAACTAAAGGCTCCAAGGAGCCTATGTCGCTCACCTGATATTTTTTTAATTTTACAATTGATGCATGAAATAATGCAACCGTTATACTTTTGCTTTAGTTTCAAAGATATAAGTCAAAAACTGCATTCTTCCCCCTATGTTCTATTTTTAAACTAGATACCCTAATGCTTATTATGGCCAAGTTTGGTTAAATTTGTCTCAGTTGTTTAAGGAGAAGACTTTTGTAAAAGATAACAAAAATTTACGAAAAATTGTTAAATTTGACTTTAAAGTGCAATAACTCCTTATGGGGTCAATTGACCATTTTGATCCTGTTGACTTTTTTGTGAATCTTATTTTGCTGAACATTATTGCTGTTTACAGTTTATCTCTATCTATTAAAATGTTCAAGATAATAACCAATAAAATGCTTCGCTGGGCGCAGCTTGATACGACCGCAGAGGTCGAACCCTGAACAGTTGGGGCAAGTATGGACACAACATTCAAGCTTGATACAGCTCTGAATTTGGATTGTTATTAAATATTTGACACAGCATAGGTTTCTGACACAGAAAGAATGTGGTCTAAGAACTTCAATTTTTTTAATTTACCTATTATGGTCCAATGTCCAAAATCAAAATACATGGTTAGATTCAGCATATCAAAGAACCCCATATGTTGAAATCAAACAAAGTTTAATTTTGGACCCCAACTTGGACAAACTTGAAAACTGGTCCCATAATCAAAAATCTAAACACATGTTTAGATTCAGCATATCAAAGAACCCCATATATTCAATTTTTGTTGAAATCAAACTAAGTTTAATTTTGGACCCTTTGGACCTTAATGTAGACTAATTTAAAAAACGGGACCCAAAATTAAAAATCTAAATACACGGTTAGATTTGGCATAACAAATAAATAAATGTGGTCAAAGATTTTACAAATCTAATGCGCCATACTGGTCTTCCTTTATAAATATGCATTTCTTTAAACATAATTTAAAAGCAGTGTAAGGGAAGTAACCAAAACGTTGTTTTGGATTACCTCCCTTACACTGTTTTAAATTATCTTAATTGTTCATTAACCATTACTTTATACATAATTTAAAAGCAGTGTAAGGGAGATAATTTCAATGATGTATTTGATTTATCTCCCTTACACTGCTTTAAATTATGTTTTGTACTAAAGTATTTGTCCATTAATGAGGACAACCTTGTTTTTCCCCCTTTTTTGCCTCTAATTCTTAAACGGTTTGAGCAATAACCCCCCAAAGCAAATCCTAACCATCCCTTTGTGGTATGGAAACTTGTAGTATAATTTCAGAGAGATCCATACACCGTTCCACAGTTATTGTCTGGAAACTAGAAAATGCTTATTTTTGGCCCCTAATTCCTTAACTGTTAGTACCATAACCCCCAAAATCAATCCCCACCTTCCTTTTGTGGTATTGAACCTTATGGTAAAATTTCATAGAGATCCATTCACTTAAACTAAAGTTAGAGTGCGAAAACTAATGTGTCTTCGGACGACGACGACGACAACGCCAACGTCATACCAATATACGACCACAAAAAAATTTTTGCGGTCGTATAAAAACTGCAAAATTTCCTTAAAATTACCAATTCAGGGGTAGCAACCCAACAATGGGTTGTCTGATGCGTCTGAAAATTTCAGCACAGATAATTCTTCACCTGATGAACATTTTAACCCTGTCAGATTTGCTCTAAATGCTTTGGTTTCAGTGACATGAGAGATATAAGCAAAAAACTGCATTTTACCCCCATGTTCTATTTTTAGCAATAGCGGCCATCTTGGTTGATGGGCAGGGTCATCGGAAACATTTTTTAAACTAGATACCATAAAGATGATTTAGGCCAAGTTTGGTTTTATTTAGCCCAGTAGTTTCAGATGAGAAGATTTTTGTAAAAGTTAATGGACAACGAAGATGACGGTGACAGACGACGACAGACGCCAAGTGATGAGAAAAGCTCACTTGGCCCTATTAGCTCTATGCATTCTGTAAACATCTAGTAACAAAATTTGTGATTTATCTTCTATAGGGGTATAAATTGTTTATCTGCACTACTTTTTGATTACCTCTGCTGTGGAGGTTCATTATGGTTGAAATTTGCTATGGAAGCTGGAATTTGTAAACATTTCAGATGAAAATCAAAATGTTCTGAAACTTTTTGGTAATGTTGCAGTTGTTTGTATGTACATTTATTAATTATAATAGAAGAACATAGTTCCAATGTCCCCATTATTGATCGTCCTGAATATGCATGAAATATTTGCCACTGGACGTTTAGCAACTAACAATCAATCAATCAATCCCCATTATTGCACATATTTTTTCTATTCAAAGTATAAGGGCAATAACTAAAAAAAGCACTTTTTTATGTTAAAATCCAGCAGCTACCACCATTGACCTCCCTTTTTGTCGAGCCTTTGACTTTTGTCGAAAAAGTGAGACATAGCGATCCTACATTCCGTCGTCTGCGGCGTCCACAAATATTCACTCTGTGGTTAAAGTTTTTGAAATTTTAATAACTTTCTTAAACTATGATCCTGGATTTCTACCAAACTTGGACAGAAGCTTGTTTATGATCATAAGAAAGTATCCAAAGTAAATTTTGTAAAAAAAAAATCCTGTTTTTCCATATTTTACTTATAAATGGACTTAGTTTTTATGCCAAGAAACATTACATTCACTCTGTGGTTAAATTTTTCAAAATATTAATAACTTTCTTAAACTATCCTGGATGTTTACCAAACTTGGACAGAAGCTTGTTTATGATCAAAAGCTAGTATCTAGAAGGAAATTTTGTTAAAATTGTGTACCTGTTCATCCGTACTTTACTTATAAATGGACTTAGTTTTTCTTCCAATTAACATTACATACAGTTTGCAGTTAAAGATTTAAAACATTTATTTGATTCATAAACCATCCTGGATTTTTACCAAACTTGGACAGAAGCTTCTTACAATCAAAAGATAGTATCGAAAGGAATATTTTTATTAATTTCTTTCCTCATTTTTGTTGAGCCTACGATTAACAGCAAAAGTAGGCGAGACACTGGGTTCTGCAGAACCCTTACAAATGTTTTGAAATTGCCTTGGAATTCAGTACTTTTGTTATACCATTTGGAAATTAAATACTGTATTAAACAAATACATACCAGTTACATTTATATATACTGTAGCTATAGGATCTCCTCAATATCTAATCCTGTTGTTAATTTCATTTAAACATATAATGTATATAGCTTCCCTTCCACTTACATCTGAGGAGCTAATTCTGAAAATTAAAATTCCTGTGATTATCATATAAAATCTTAACCTGATGCAGTCTGCTTTCCAATAAGAATAAATTAGGAATACAGTTATCACTTGGCAAAGAGAGAGAAAACAAGTGATATTTTTATATTATAACCAATACTGCACATGGTACATTTGTAATTGGTACATCACTAGTTTTTTGGATTGGATTGTTGCTCACTTTGTCAGGATCTTTTATAGCTGACTATATGGTATAGTTTTGTTCATTGTTGAAGGTCATACAGGAGTAACAGGACCTAAAATTTTTTACATCCTCTTCGACAAATGGAAAGTTTTCTCATTGACAATCCTACCATACATTGTAAGACCTTATTTCTAAAATACTAAAAAATTTCAATCTGTGACAATAACATTTTATTAATTTAATAAGTTAATCTGATCAACATTATGAAGCAATATGTTCAAAACACTCTGTCATTGTCTGACAGCGATCAAAGTAATTTTAACTCCTATGACAATGTACAATGATGTATATATATGTGCAAGACTCAAAACTTAATCACAATTTAAATTCATACATATATCCATATACATTTACAAGGTACTTAATAAATCAGTGAGACTGACGCATAAAATGTAGGTAAAAAAATATACTTTTTGTTGGATCCTGCATCATAATTATAACAAGTTAAATGGAGGCAAGTCATAATCATTGAGTACATGTACATTATATTTGAACTTAAAGTAAAGGATAATCTGAGTGTAGTCTCTAATCAGTAATGAAGCCACACAACACTGTGTGACAACAGTGACATATAAGTCTCCCATAGACATGATAGATGCACATACTATTATTTTAGGTCTTTTGTATATATATGTTAAGGTTACTTAGAATTGGCTGTTGACATACATGTACACATGGACTGTCAGGCATGGAGTCATTGGACCCTAGGTAGTAGGTTACTCAAGTCCATTATCAGTCACTATCAATAGTCAACTCCTCTGTCCATTTGTTGTAATACAATGTACTGCTGAAAGGGAGAAAACAGTACTTTATTAATAGCATGTGGATGCAAGACTATAATAAGTATTCAAAGAGTTTTGCAAACAATTAGCTTATACATTTAGGAGATATCTGTATTTACCTAGTGATGTGACAGTAAAATCAAGTTTAACCAAGGCCAAGCTTAAAATACAATACAGTTATCTACATTCTAATGCAGCATATTAAAATAAATACCATTTAACAAATATTTTGGCATAAAATTAAATAAATAAAAAAGTCCGCGAAACTGTTGCATTGTCTTTAGCAACTAAACAATGTGACATCATATGTATGCCCCCGCTTGCATATCATATAGTTATAAAGGGACATAACTGAAGAACGGTAAAAGTGACGCTACCCAAAAATTTTGTGGTAATAAGCATTGTGTGTAAGTCTCATAACATTTGGTTGAGGCTAACTTAAGTAGAGAACAGAAACTAAAAATTCAGCAATTTTTCTATTTGTAAACACGCATAACTCTAGAACGGTTGTGTATAAGTTTTATAACATTTGGTTGAGACAAACTAAAGTTAGAGAATGGAAACGAAAAAAACAGCAATTTTTATGTTTATAAAGGGACATAACTAAAGAATGGTAAAAGTGTCGCCACCAAATTTCGTACTTAATCTGTATTCTGTAGTAAAAAGCATTGTGTATATATAAGTTTCATAACATTTGGTTGAGGCAAACTAAAGTTAGAAAACGAAAACAAAAAATTTGTACTTGATCTTAGTTGTGTTAATGAATATTGTGTATAGGTTTCATAATGTTTGGTTGGGGCAAACTTAAGTTACAAAATGGAAACTAAAAATTTTGCAATCTTTCGATTTATAAAGGGGCATAACTCAATAATGGTTAAAGTGACACTACCCAAATTCAACTTGATCTGTGTTTTATCAGTGGAAGTCAAAATTAAACATTACATTGTATAAAGCATTGATTGTAGCTGATTCATCTTTAATCATGGACAAAGAAAGATAACTCCAATTTTAAAAATAACTTGATATTTAGAAGAAAATAAATTTTTTTCAATTTTTCCATTTATAAAGGGGCATAACTCTAGAACGGTTAAAGTGACGCCACCAAAATTCAAACTTAATCTGTGTTTTGTGATAATAAGCATTGTGTATAAGTTTCATAACATTTGGTTGAGGCAAACTTAAGTTAGAGAACGGAAACTAAAAATTTTGCAATTTTTCCATTTATAATGGGGCATAACTCTAGAACGGTTAAAGTGACGCCACCAAAATTCAAACTTGATCTGTGTTTTGTGGTAATAAGCATTGTGTATAAGTTTCACAACATTTGGTTGAGACAAACTCAAGTTAGAGAACGGAAACCAATTATGGGATGTACGGACGGACGGATGGACGTATGGACGTACGTATGTACAGACGGACAAGGGTAAAACTTAATGCCCCCACCGCTACAGCGGGGGCATAAAAAGATATTGCAACAGATTGATCAATAAAAGGGGTTAAAAGGCTCATAATGATGTTTCATTTGAAATTTACTAATCTTACACAATTATATTTAGTCTGTATTTATTAATTCATTCTTTTTGGCATGTGTTTTATATGAAGCTGATTTTTTCTGCTTTCTTTTGCATGTTATTTCATGAAGATACGCTGAAAAATAGCTAATTCATGAAAAAGAAACTGAGACCACTGTTTCGTTATATGAATTCACTTTTGATGACTGCCTTTAATAATTTGAATTTATATTGATTTAAGATTTTCAGAATACTGTTATTTTCAGTTTAATTATCAAGGAAGACATATTAAACAAAGTTTTAAATCCACTTTTTACGATGGTTCAAGGGATTACAAAGCTGTCTCAAGAGAAGGTTTGTTGACACCAAACAACCAAAAAATGTCCTGAGGGATTTGGACCAAATAATCTCTATGGAAATGAGAAGTGCATATCCTACTATAACTGCACACCAAATATTATTGACTTTATATATATAATTACCATAAGTTATTTCTTGGTTTCCTTAAACTGACCTCATCACGAATATCAACAATTTTTTTATGACTATGCCTCTATTGAAAACAGCATGCCTAAGCCACAACTTCATAACAGTTGTGGCTAGACAAAAAAGAACAAGCAATGTAGCGATTAAGAGAGCTTTGAATGCAATTTTCTATAAAAATGACCTGTAAAAAAATTAAATTTGTCACTTCTAACATGGATAATTTTCGAACTTGCCCACAACAAGAATCAAGCTTTAAACTCTACGACCTCAAACTTTTAAAAAAATCTTCGAAATTACATGTACAGAGTCTGACAAGAAAAAATTATTCAAACATGTCATAGTTATCATTTTCATTACATACCTCTCATCACAAAATTATTCATTGACTACTGCTCCTCATATGCACATAAATCAATAGGACGATCTATGACTCCACTATATAATCTAGAAAGCAATGCCTCAAATGAATTCTGTTCTGTTGCTTAGCTTTTCCTACTTCTCAAAGTAATTGTACTTTCATTGAAAAAGCTAAAATAAATAATGTTTAATAAAATGAAGTTATAATACAATGTATCTGTCAAAATTGCCTGTAATATTTTAATCTGGCAAAATTGGCTTGGTTTGTTCTTTTAAAACTAGACCAACAAACTTTCCCTGAAAAAATGACTATAAAAAAGTATTTAATCATTTTAATAATGTTCTAATCCATCATATAAATTCCATATGACCCTTAAATGAAGGGATGAACAAGAGTGATTATATATTACAGGATCTCTGCATATGTCATGATTTATATAATGCCAATCTTTGGGGATTAACATGATTAAGTTATTTTAATAATCATGATACTTTGAAATTTTAAGTTATTCAAAGTTACACCAAAAGTTGGACTATTTTACATAAGGTAGTATCTGAGAAATGGACTAAACCAGGCAAGGTTTGGTGGTAAATACATTGTACATGTACCTTGTTTTTGGCTTTGAACTCGGTGTTAGTAACTGGGAGTACTCTCAGATCTGTACTTGGAGTCTTTTTTGTTGTGGGATGTATAAATAGCCACCACGTCTTGTAGTGTGTTTTTGTTAGATGTCTTTCTGCTTTGTATAAATCTGATGAGTTAAGCCCTTTTCACATCAATATCCCAGGTAAGGAGGTGGGTTCGGCACCACAAACTACTAGTCTAGCCCCACCACATCTTGTACATTTGTATGTGCCTGTCCCATGTCATGAGCCTGTAATTCAGTGGTTCAGTTTGTCGTTTGTTGCTGTGTATCATATTTTGTTTTTTTTGTTCTTTGTTTTATATATAAATTAGTCTGTTAGTTTTCTTGTTTGAATTGTTTTACAAATTTGTCATTTTCATTTGGGGTCTTTTATTATAGCTGACTATATGGTATGGGGTTTGCTCATTGTTGAAGGATGTACAGTGACCTATAGTTGCTAACTTTGATGTCATTTGATCTCCGATGGAGAGTTGTCTTTTCTCATGAGTGTAAACAATACATATAAAGAATGTTATCCTGCATTTTTTTTAGTTGAAATATCTGTCCTGCCAGTTTATTTTTCACTTTTTTTCGGTCCTGGCTTTTATTTTTTTACTCAAAACTCCTGTCCCACATTTTTTCAAATTTTGTCAAAGCCCCCTTTCCCATAAAAATCATATGGTAGCTCCCTAAACAACAGTGGAGTGATTTTAAAATAATGGGGCGTTTTGCCAATGGCAATTGGGTGAGTTGACTTGCCGGTACCTCAAATGACCGAATAACACCGTTATTATCCGAATAACACTTGTAATGACCGAATAACACTTGAAATTTTAATATTAGCACATATTGGTGACTTTTAAACATTGATTATTGAATATTAGTATATTACAAATGTATTTTATAGCTTAAAAATGATATATAGAAAGCAGGTAAATTCATAAAGATCATTATAAATATAGTGTGTACATCCAACATGGCAGTGTTGGCAAAAACCCGGGTTTTATGAGTATTGCCCAGCCCAGTGGGAAATACTGGGAAAACCAGGGTTTTACTGGGTAATGCTGGGCAATACTGGGTGATATGAAATACTGGCCTGATTTTTAAAAGGGATTCAGTGATTTATCACAAATGCAATACATTAAAGTCAAAGAATTCAATTTGTTTTTTTTTTAATCAATATAACTAAAATTAACAATTGTAAGGAAAGTTACTTTTAAACATTTTTTGTTCATTAATAAACATGTTTACTTAGTTTTAGCATATGTTTATGTACATCACTTATTAATAAGTAATTATTCAGATTATCATGATTATAATACAGATTTGTTTATACAACAATAATCATCCTTTTGATTTCTATAAGTGTTCAAGGCCTCTCCCCTTAGGCTGTTTATTTAGCAATATAATTGTTTAACAATTAAAATTTACAATTAAACAAAGCCTGGAAATTAAAAAGGTATCCTGAAATGTCCAAATCTTGTATTCTGCCTACATATATAGAATTAGTGGAGAAAAGTAAGAAATTGAATTTTCAATCTTCAGGAATGACTCTCAATGGTTATCTGAATAAAATGTATTTATTTAGTTATAATACAAGTGTGGACACAGATCAGTGTGGACAGTATGATTGGATGTTTGACAGTGTTTTATATGACAAAAGGAGTTCTATGTTTTATGTTTTCTATGTATTAACTGTGTTGCACAATGACAGCCAACATGAGCATTAGGGGTGTTGTTTATGTAATATTTAGTTTTTTATGTTCAACAGATACTAATTGCATTAATCACCAAATGATTATGATAGAATATATATGTTCCACATCTTTGATTTTGGATACATTTTGTAGCTAGGAGAGGAACACATAATAGGTTCATTTTTTTCTTAATGTGATTTTTTTTTATATGGGAGATGGTATCTGAGAACATGTATTTGCTTACTATTTGT